TGGTATCCGCAATAGCTTAGTTCAATCGTACCTATAAAAAAATGATGACAAACTACAAATGTAGACGTACCCTATCGATGATATTAAACACAATCAATCTCATTGAACATTATAATTAGCAATCAAACTTCCGAGATTAGAGACAAAACAATAATGAGTACAAATTAGTCATTCGAAAATCTAAAACGTCATGATTTTTAAGCACTTTTTTCTAAAATGCTTACTCATGTAGGTTTATCAAATCTCTGAGATTAGTCCCCATAATAAATACTGTTAGTATTGGGATACTAACCATCAGTTGACCTGAAGATCTGAAGCAAACATGTCTTTCCTTAACAAGAACTACAAATTCGTCAGCCAGGAGAACTTTGATGGTTTCCTCAAGGCAGTTGGTAAGTAATCTTTGAACGCTATTTAAATCTTAACTATTTATTAAGTGACAATATTCTTTTGGGATAGGATGTAAATTAGAAGATGGCTCATCTAGATGGTAAACAATCAACATCGTCTATCGAGTTACAAGTACGGTCTTTGGTCCCATTCACATGGCGAAATACAATGCAAGCGTTGTTTTGCAGTCCACTCTTAGACTATGTTCCTCATCTGCAATAAGAACGCTTCACGATGGACAGGTTTAGGTATACCAAAAAGGACTGGGGCACGATTTTTCACTATCATCAATTTCTTCATTATTTTCAACAAAGAAATCTAATACATCAATCAATATTACAGGTGTGGCTGAAGATAGGCTCGAGCAGCTGAAGAAGTTCGCTCCCGACCAGAAGCTGACTAAGGATGGAGATACTTACACTTATTATAACATTACACCCGAGGGACCGCAGGAAGTCAAATTCAAATCTGGAGTAGAAATTGATGAACTTCTTGGCGCCTCAAAAACGCCTGTAAGTACAAACTTTATATTCTTTATAAAACAGGATTGTGCTCCTGGTTTGTGAGTGCATTTAGAAATATTTCAACCAGAAACACCTTCAATAAAAGAGCGTATTAATTTTGAAAGGCCAGTAACGCACCTGTGACTCCTCTGGTGTTGCGGGTGTCCATGGGCGGTGCTGATCGCTTTCAATCAGGTGATCCGTCTGCATGTTTGCCTCCTATTCCATAAAAAATCTAAACCCATTTAATTTACAAACCGGAATCGCAATCAAATACGAATTTCGTTGCAGCACAGTTTGTAGTTAGTCTCTTCCATATCAAGTCACCTTAATGGAGACAAAAATAATAATACTTAGATTTTGATTCTATTCATAATCTGTTATTAATTTATAAACAAACTAAATGTTATAATTTGTATCTTCCAGGTTAAGAGCACATACGTGGTTGAAGGCAATACCATGACACAAACAGTCAAGTCTCCTGAGAGAGGTGTTGCCGTCTTCAAGAGAGAGTACAATGGAGATGATCTCGTTGTAGTAAGTTCATTAAAATATTGGCACTCTTGTTAACTCTTGGAACAGTGAGTAACACTGTTTAACAGTGACATGGCACTATAATGTTACATAAGCATAACTTTTCAAAAATTCTTTTATCAACTTTATTTTTAGAAGGTTTTGTGTCAAATGAGATTATTACTGAAAGTTTTAATTCACATAAAGTTAAAAAATAAACACAAAATGCAATATTTGGTCAACTTGGCCCCAAAGTTCGCGCAGTACTCTTTAGTTTTGGAATAATATAATCATCGCTTGATGTTTCACTTGCGATTCATTGATTAACAAAGCAGTTGTTGTTTTTTCTAACATGTTAATATTTTGTTTCCAGACCCTTACCTATGAGAAATGGGATGGCGTTGCGAAGAGATTCTATAAGGCCGAATAAATACTTCTTCATCATCACACTCTAGGCTAAATTATAGAGGTTATCACACGTCATGACATGGTTTGAAATCAATCGTCACTCTTCGCGTTATTATTGTATTTTTAAATTCTAAATTATTTTTATGAAGTTATCTACTTATTTATTTTTATTTATTGGAACTCCATATTGAGGTTTGGTCTGTATCCTTTTACATAGTTAGGTACTTTAGATTCTAAGAGGCAGAACAGTAACTATGTACAGGTCACTTAGTAAAACTTTTTCAAAATTTACCTTTGCGTGCATGCCACCGATTTACTATCGTTAGTCATCTTTAGCTAATTACTAAATAATAAAAACAACATTTAATAAAATTGCATTTGTTTTTATCATTCCTTATCAAAATAAAGTCATCATGACTAGTCGAAATAAAAATTAATGATGAAATCAAGATCGTAATGGCGATAAAAATATTTGTCAAGGCTGACTTGCCCCCAAAGCTACTACAAAACATACATTACCACCAGGCGAGATAGTGATAAAAAAGATCACCACTTCAATTTACGAAACTCTTTTATTTTCTTTTAATATCATTTATTTGCATATTTGCATAAACTGTATGTTTTGACCATAGGATTCAAATCCGGAGCTGCGGAGGCGGGAGAAGACAAATGACTTTTCCCGTCGAAAACTCATTATTTAATGATGTTATTTCTTAAAAAAAGTGGTCCAAATCCACATAATGTTAGAAAGATTTTTGTTTTAACGTTAAGCGCAAGGATTTTCTCCTCTGTCGTGCGTGCCGTTACAAATTTTACAAGTTTCCATACACACGACACCCAGACCTGAAACCCACTATGCCAATAGGCTCACCCCCTATTACATGGAACTCATAACATGAGTAGTGAAAACTGGTGTTACACTGTACACTGGCATTAAATGTCGTAAAGTGCACCTCTGCCTATCCCGAAGGGATTCGGGGATAAAAAGCGTAATGTCATGTTATGGAAAATCACTATTGCCCTACAACACCTCAACAGATACCTACTACTTTTAGCTACGATTTCTGGTGAAAACGATGTGGAGTGTGGACTATCTAAGGATTGTGTTACATGTTAATATTTTTAGAGTATGTAGGGGCGACCGAGGTTGGGTTCCACAGAGGTCGTAATACAGAATGTAACCAAAATTAAACTAAGCCAGAGAATTGGCATTAATAGAAAAAATAATACCTTCGCGATCCTTGACTCCTGCGACTTGCGATACGAGCAGTCGACCCATCACATACTCTGGGAGTGTGATCTCTGGCAATATGAACGTAACACTATGTTAAATAACTTAATTGTTTCGTCAGGTGTAGTTTATTATACGGGCCTTGTGGAATCTAGAACAAATTTCCGTGCGTTTAGGCGTTTTTGCCATACCTATTATTGGAAGCAAGTATAACAGCCCACACATAGGACCCACTTAGTTTTTAGTCAAATTTCCGTGGTGCTTGGCGACTGGGCTTCACCCAGTTGTACAGTCTCTTCTTTGTGCCTTTGGGCTTAATTCATTCTGTCTCCTGCAGTAATTCACCGAGGGAAGTGAAAACCATAGTTTTTTCTTCTTCTCCTCTTATAATATCTTCTGATTCACTTCGTTGCGGGAACCAAGACAGTTACTCATGTCCCTGGGACGCGCCGGACTTCAGTGTTCTGATGTTTTCATGGTTGTATCTACTGTAGATCCTGGCTTACAGGAGTTGCAGCGGTTTTGGGACGTTGTGGCGGGCTTGTCCCATTAAAAAAAAAATCCTTGACTCCTGACCGATGAATTTATTTCCCTGATTTATTTGTTTAGATGAATTTGTTTAGACTTTCAGATCATTCCGTTGGTTCTTTCGGATTAATCTTACCAATTATTCGTTAAAAGTATTGATGTTCTATAAAAATAACAATCATGATTCAAACAGTTAACTTGTGTAGTCAACAGTTAACGTTTACTTTTAATCCGAGATAAGATAATAGCAATGTAACCACGGGTTTATCTGTCAATGATTAATCCAACCTTGTTCGCTTTAACAAACAATTTACAAAGTGTTCGAAGAGTTAGTAAATAAGTATTTTTATAAATGACGGCATTTTTTTAACTTTCTACTTGAAACTAGACTTTATCCTCTTAATATTCTAGTCCTATAATATAACTATTTGGTACAAATAAAAATAGAGACCACACAGAATCTACAGCTCGAGATAATGGTCAATAAGTACATGAAAGGGTTCACCAAAATCACCTCGTTTGGCAGTTTGGAAAATATAGAGAAAGATTAACTATATATATTGTTACCTATTTGAAACGCTCACACTGTAGGTAGAATTTTTTTTAGAGACAACCTCCTAAATTTGTTTATTAATTACAGCCATAACAACGCTATCAGATACTAGTATGATGCAATAAATTAATGAATTTCAACTGAAGATTCAATTTAAAATAATTGCTGATGCATACAAACTTAGGCCATTAACACATGGCACCACACACCACTTAACACATGGCACCGCAAACCACCACGGTAGGCAATCAAGCTGATCTCATGTCACATTGACCTTTAATAAATCCGTAGATGCCTAACACACATAGACCACCTGACCGCGCGGTCGAGCGTTGTTCTCACCGCCATCGGTCCTCCGCACCATCCACCGTCCATGCCTGTGGTCCATGCAGTGGAACGGCGCCGGCGCCTCACACACGGGGCGCCGCATAGCCGCGTCGATAATCGTGAGTGCAGGACGATTAAAGTATTTAACAATGGAATTCGATGTGAACAAACTGGTCAAAAGCGAAGCGTATTAAATCCATCAGCGTGGACACCGTTACGAAATCCGCATTATCGTCGCCGCTCTCCGCGGCGATACGCGGTGCCGTGTGTTTTCGCCTAAACATGTCTCGAACATTTTGCCATACTCAACATTTTACGATCACGAACAGACCAGTCACGTATTTTAACCTTCTAACCCTGCTAATAGCTAAAAGATTAAAACTATAAAAAATAAACCCTATTTTAATGCCCAACCTATTTTGTCATTACACCTCAGCAATATTTTCTCCCAATGACTCAACGTTATCAGCCAATCGTTGGGTGGCTCTAATGTTATCATTATCAACCCGATTACTGTTAGCATATATATAGCTAGGCTTTGTAATTTCAAAATCATTGAATTGTGATACACAGTTGCTACCATCAACATGGCTTTCCTCGGTAAAACTTACAAGTTCGTGGGCCAGGAGAACTTCGACGCTTTCCTCAAAATTGTCGGTAGGTGTTATTTAAAATTCTTTATTTTAATTAGTTTAACCATGTAATGCGCTTTTTAAACTGTCAAACACCAAGCGCTCACCGGTGACCGCAACCTATTGTTCTATAATTGTGTCTACAAAACCGGTACTCGACGAGTTAAAATGTTACTTCTTTTTCCAACAAAGTCTGTTTTATTAGTTTGCTTTTTTTATTGTTTAAGGATTACTTTAATTCGATGAAGTTTGAACCAGTTTTGAACATGGTCCAATTTTACATTAACATTTTGGATTTTTGAAATTGTCAACAAGATATTTATTTTCAATGAAATGAAACCTTTATTTGGGATAGGTACTTAAAGCATAATTCTTCCTTTATACTTTATTCATTAGCTTTGCTGCAATTTAATTTCGTTCTTACAAAAACAATTCGATTAAATGTTTGTTTTTGAAAATTCGATTGTAGCATCTAGCTTTTAAATATTGATATTTATAGAATACTATTGGAGAAATAGATATTTCACCATCATCAATATCTGGTACATCCGACTTTAGTTATCATAATATTTGTATACAATATGAATGAAATCTGTGTATTATAAATACGACGTCGTTATCTTAAACAAATATTCATCTTTCATTTATTATCTACTAGGTTAATAGAAGACCCAATGGCTTGATCAGTAGTCAATATTGGAATTTGAGAATAAATAGATGCTATTCATCAATATTTTGGATGATTTTTTGAATACAGTACCAGCAAAGACCTCTAAACGTCTAATTTAGCATTTTAATAACTTCACTGGTCTCACTTTGACTCTAAAATCCATATTTACAATTTTAATTTCTATTTTACAGGTGTTCCTGATGAGAAAATCCCAGACATTTTGAAGTTCGCCCCTGACTTCAAGCTGACCAAGGATGGTGACACCTACACCTACGCCACCGTCAGGTCCTCAGGTCCTACTGAAGTGAAATTCCAGTCTGGTGTGGAATTCGATGATGTCATTGGCGAGGACAAGACTCCCGTAAGTATTAATGATACATCATTATCATCATTCTATTGTTTAGTAATCATTTAAACATGTTATGACCTATTCAATAGCATCATAACAGAGAAATACAAAAAGGAATTAGCAAAAAATTACTATTAAATCATAAATTCAAAGCACTTTTTACTCTCTACTACAGCACTCGACACGCAAATTGAATTGTTAGGGAAGCTAGGCGCTCGTTTCAAAGTGTAGTTTCGAATGGAGAAGAACAAGCAAGAAACTCCATCGTTACTCATCCCAAAAAAAATGTCATCGCTAAACGTAAACAAGTTAGTTTTTATTGTGATTTTTATAATTATGAATGTCAACAATATGTGAAATAGTTTAGACTAGTTTTATTATCTGAAATCATCTTCAGTTATTATATTATGATCAATCATCAAAATAGAGAATGATTGTGAATAAAAATGATCAATCTGGGGAAACTATAATTTTTTATGGTATTTTTCTTCTTCAGGTCAAGAGCACATACACAGTCGATGGAAACACAGTCACACAGGTCATCAAGAGTGACAGAGGTAGTGCTTCCTTCAAGAGAGAGTTCAACGGTGACGACCTTGTCTTGGTAAGTTTTGTAAAGTAAATAGTTATTTATTAATAGAAACAAAGAATGTGGAAACAGGATACATATAAGTTTTTGTAATATTTGTTGACACATAATGTCATATTTTTCGATTCAACGATAGCTTTTGACTGATGACGCTTTGAGTTGAATATGCGATAATATCTTACTTATTGGATAACTTTTTAATAGTATTGTTGTAAGAAAATATAATATTACACGACATAACATAACAGCGATCTGTTAATTAAGGCTTTGATCAGTCATTTCTGACAAGCTTTTTTATGGTGTGTCGCAAGGTTCTATAATAGAACCAACGTATGTACGGTACTGAATAGCAAGTTAATTTTTTTTTTTGAAATTATAGATTATGAGTCGTATTTATGTCCTTTTGTATTAATTAGTTTACTTACCATTTCTTGTCTATTTTTTCAGACCATTACAGTTGAGAAATGGGACGGCCAAGCCAAGAGATTCTACAAAGCTGCATAAGTTAAAATAAAGTGATTAGTTGCGTAATTTCTTAGGTATAAGTAATTAATTATTTATTGTTATTTAATAAAAAATATTTTACATTTTTTATACTTTGGTATTTATATTTATCTTGTGTCAGACAAAATAAAGTTTTGATATAGTAACAAGTAGTACATACATTTTTTGACATAAAAAGTTTTACATAAAAAACAAGCCTTTTACGTTTGATATCCATAATGGAGATAGTTGTGGAAAAAAACAGATATCATTAAGAGCTTATACCATATATTAGATCGGTCTGTCATCAGAAACTGTGTAAGATTCCAATTACTAACTCTAATCCAAACAAATGAGGCAAGCTAAAAACAATCGTTTAAAAATAGCCCCTGAAATGTTTCATGAGTCAAAAAAATATCTAGAACAATCGACGATGAACCTAAATACTACTAGGTAGTACTCATGATGATGTCATATCATCACTTTTAAAAGGTTTATCTACAGAAAACTGATTATAAATATGTCTAAATATAATACTAAATTGATTGATCTTTTAATTTCCCGTACAATGATTAGCTTTAGATATAAAATCGCTAGTAAGTAACAACTAATTAGTGTTGCGCCATAATAGGGCGTGCTCTTAGTGCAAACTGATTATCTATCTACGTCATTGGTGTAGGATATCTAATTGCTGTTGATTAGATTACAAAACTACACCTGCTATTCTCAAAAAAATCTGTAAATGTACTTTTCGTGTACCAATTTTTATACATCTTGCCAAATATTTTTAAATAATTAAACACTCTTGATTATGGCCCCTGGCTTGGCTTGAAAGTAACTGAGTTACCTAAGCCTAGGTACGACTGCTCAAATATGCAAAGCCCGATTTTAATCAAATAAAATATTTAACCTTTCGTGTGTCTAAACGTGGATCCACGCGAGACACAATATATCTTCTATTGTGTCTCATATCGGTGCATTCAAGCTGTTAAACACGACTTTCTGCAGATCGAAGGACAGTACCTATAGCATTTGTGTCTACTAAATCAATAATTTAAGTGTGGGAGAGCCATGTTTCGGCACGAATGGGCCGGTTCGACCGGAGTGATACCACGGCATGAGAATGGGGTTACCGGAGGCCCAATTATCCTCCCCTTCCCTAATCTCCACAATTCCTGAATCCCCAACGATCCTCAAAGTCCTAATCCCCAAAAGGCCGGTAACGCACTTGTAACGCCTCTGGTGTTCCAGGTGTCCATGGGCGACGCCGATTGCTTACTACTGTGATCCATCTGCTCGTTTACCGGCTTATGCCATAAAAAAAAATAACCGCAATGTTATTCCCACAGAAACGTTACGTTACTTCTTTATTACATCTATGGTCCTTTCAGTCTCATAAGGACATTATGGTTTTTAATTCTAGTTGACTCTTAAAATTAAGTGTAACATTTTTTCGTCGAATATATTTCTAGTTAATCATAAATATCTAATAGTGATCGCTTCTTTTACTATACACGAAGAATATAACAAACTGTTAATACCAGAACCACAGATTACTTAATAGTTACTACGTAACCAGAACCTCCCACTGACCCAACTCAACAAAACTATTCAGGAGATTGAAACTATATCTTCAAGCTCTGCAGTTGTTACTGGCGCCTATAATGACCAAATCGTCGATTAGATTAGATTAGATTAAGGAATCGAAGTCCACGAAGTCACTGACTGTCTCACTGACTCAGTGCCAAAAGTGATGTCATACAAACTGACTAGGCCACGTAATTAAACATTGAACCTATAGAATTAAATACAAGACTTCCGGAGATTAAATAATTAATGTACATATCTAACAAAATACACTTTTTATTGTCAGCCGCCATTCGGCTGGTTTTTTATGGACTAGGACTTGCATTTTAAGGGTAGGCATATCATATGCATATTTATATATTTTTTATTTTACATTAACCTCTTTGACTGGATTTTAGTGTTACATTGTTCTCACACAATCCAAACAACTAAACTATGTACATAACTAGAGAATTGTATTGTGAACCTGATTAAAAAAGAGTAACCTATGGAGTTCCTTGCTCGTTCTTCTCTATAGGAATCTACACCTTGGAATGAGCAAATAGCTTTACGTTTAATTTGTTGACGTTCAAAAGTTCCTTTCTGGTATAATTTAAATAAATAATTTTGACTTGATTTTGACCACCACTAAACCATATTATAACTAAGAGATGCTGAGCGTTAAGGTTCACGCTAAACTATACACTTATCTGGTGATTAGTTGTCATTTATACGTTGGTGGAAACCAATAATGTCGTTAAGTGAAATGTAAGTAAAATGGACAATTCTTCTAAGTAAATAAATGAGTTTCGGTATTAATGTTAGGTCCCTGAAATAATTGACGTTGCAAGGGGACTTTAGGATAGGATCGGGCCTGCGGACGGCAAGCACGGGGAACTCGACATATGATCAGAACCAGACCCGAGGGTATGGCGCGTCGCGTTCCCAGACCAACACAGATGAGGCCCAATAGGATACGGGTTGCCGTAGCTTCGATTTCAAGTGCAGGAGTAGGAACGGAGTGGTTATTAGTCAATAAAAGTCTAACACTCCCTCTCGCCTCCACCAGGCGGGAGAAGTTATTAGATGAATTTCCCCTCTCAAAAAAAGGGGATTTCTGTTGTTGGTCGCAGTTTAAGACCACAAGAATGGTGATGAAAACGTGTAGGCTTAATATAACTTACTCCTTAAAAATAAATAATAATACGTTGGGAAGAACGTATCGAGTTGAAACTTTATTTTCTAATCTAAATGAGTAAGATATATCCACCCCTAGATAATAAAAAGATAAACCATTATTTAATTTTTAAAGACATTCGATTCCATAAATTTGAAATATCAACCATAAATTTATTAAACCTTCAAGAGATGGGATTGGAAAACAAAAAAAAAACTTGCGCACTTACAAAATACTAGATAGAACAAGATTCAACAGCGACCAAAAGAAAAAATGGACTTCATAGAAATCCCAATAAAAAGTATTAGGTAGGTACCTGAATAGAGAATCATAAACCAAATTAATTTAAAATATATTTTACTGCTAGCGACTTCGCCCACGATCTCGTAGGATAAAAAAGTAGCCTTGTTATTCCATATCGTAATCTACCCAGTACCCATGTTCCATTTCATTCCGATTCCTTCAGTCATTTTTTCATGAAGACGAATAAAGAAACGAACATACACACTGTCACAATTATAATATAGAATAACAATAACATATAAATGTGTATTTCAAATAACACTAGTGGCTTAGGAAACAATAAAAGAAAACAAAATTTTACGAGTAAAACATACGTGAATGAAGTAATTTGAAACGTAGCATGATTGTAAAAAAAATTATCGCTTTAGACTGTCAAACACCAAGCGGTCACCGGTGACCGCAACCTATTGTTCTATAATTGTGTCTATAATGACGGTACTCGACGAGTTAATACATCAAGCCAAATTATAAAACTAAAAAAATTACCCTCAATCACAAAAAAAAGCTATAAAATCACGATGCAAAGTCCGTTATTTATTTGAAAAAATTAAATCATTCGATCGTAATATCGTTCCGTAGCAGTTTATCATATCTTAGTAGATTAGGGCTCGGATATAAGTGTGAGCTCCGTGATTTTTTTCACATTTTACCGTTAAACGGAAGAAAAGTCAATAAGCCAAAATGTCTTACATCAACAAGAACTTCAAATTCGTGAAGCAGGAGAACTTCGATGGATTTCTCCGTGCTGTCGGTATGTGTCCTTTAAAACTAAATAGAGAAATTCTTCCATTTATAAAGTTTATTAAAACAGTGTTCGTTATTTAAAAAAAAAGTGTAGCGCCCGTTATTATTTAAAAGTGGAAAACGGTGAAAAAATGTACAGAATGGGGGTCAATTTTCTTAATGAAATCTACATTTTGCACCGTGTTTTTATATAATATAAAGATTGACTTAAGATTATTGCGGTATAAATTGACATTTAATAATATAATTAAATATTTTATTAAAAACTTTCGCGTCGTATTTTCTTCAAATTTAAATGTGCTATGCTCATTAAAAATAATCTATTTAGGTAGGTAAATACCCTTTCAGATTACATAATCCTTATATTCTAGAAAATTCGTATGTTCGTTAATTTTATCTTTTAATTTTCAATTAGGTAACTACTTAATCCGATAAGCCCTTATCGAAGGTACACCTTCGGATACTAACTGAGATTTATCGCTTATTACCTACTTTTTAACGAATATTTTCTATGCATTATTTATCATTTTTCTAAACGATTGATCTGTTGTTTAGTTTAATTAATTTAATAGAAATAACTTGATACCCTAGTAGTCACTAGTCACTAGTCCTAGTAGTCACCTAAACTTATTATTTTTGCAAAGATTAGGCAACATGGTGTTATTGGATCTGAGTTAGATAAAATAAAAAATAAGTAAATTAAAATAAAATTTTAATTAAATACATTCAAGAATGTTTTTAGTTCTTAGAATGTTGACTTTGATCGGTTCTTGTTCAAATCAACAATTGTGTAGTCAGCATCATCATAATATCAGCTCGAAGAAAGCATCACTATTAAGTGACAATAATTGTATTGAGTTTGCATTTAAAATATAATTTCAAAGTCAAAGAATTTATTTCAAATAATCCTCACTTTTGAAACGTCAAAAATTTAATTATTTATCCGTCCGTTTGGCGTCTGTCAGTGAGGCTAGGCGCTCTTTCCAAAATGTAGTTTTTCGAATTGAGTAGAACGAGCAAGAAACTCCATCATTACACTTTAAAAAAAATACTGTCTCATTGTTAATTTATATGATCGTTCAGAATTTTTCATTTTTCAGACTAGTATTAGTAGGTACTAGTACTGACTTAAACTTTTTTTTTATTTAAAATAACTAACCTAACCCAACCAAATCATTTTAAAAAATTGACACTAAGTAGATAATCGACGTTTTCGAAAGATCATGAATATCTTCCAAGCGGTTTTTCAAGTCGTTCTAAAACAGTCCAAATCTTGTACCCAGGTTTACCCGAGGAGAAGATCGCTCAGATCGTGAAGTTCGCTCCTGACCAGAAGCTGGTACAGGATGGTGACAGCTACACCTACATCACAAACGGTCCTGATGGCGTTAAGGAGATTAAATTCAAGTCCGGCGTCGAATTCGAAGATGTCATTGGTGCCGACAAAATTCCCGTAAGTAGTTATTACTTTTAAAGTATTTAATTAAGCTAATCCAGTTAGATTCAAAATTTAAAGGTCACCTCACCTTTTAAACCTCGCCTCATACTAGGTTTTTATCCTGTGTCATGAATGCGTTAAAAACAAAGACAAAATTGTGAGGCAAGACGATGATAAATAAGGTATGCCTACAGTTACGGAATTTTTAAACTGGCATAAAATAATTTTACTTGCCCATGCAATTATTTGAACTTCTGGGCTAGATAGAAATTATATTTTAAATTTTTTTACCCATTTTCTATTTTGATAAAACCTTAAACTTTTACGTTATATGTAGCGCCGTAACTATAACCCTAGAAGCTCGTAAAGTCGTGACAACTTCATTAAAGTTTCCCAATAAAAAACAAAGAAGTTTAGATGTAAACCTCTCAACCCTTTCAGTTGGGTGCCTGTAGCATTTTGCTGACTTGCCACCTTGTAGTTACACCACTGATCCACTGGTTATTTGATTTTTTTTTTCACAAAATTGAGTACAAGTACATTAATATAATTTATATGTAAATCAAGGATTTAAACAAATTCTTTTTACAATTTCAGATCAAGACCACCTACACAGTCGACGGCAACGTAGTCACACAGAACATTACAGCTCCCCAAGGCACAGCCGTCTTCAAGAGGGAATACAATGGCGACGAACTAGTTGTGGTAAGTTTTACTTCAAATATCAAAACTTGCCCAGATTTGTAGGTAACTGTAGGCTTTTTGAATCAATCAAACTGAACAAAGTAGGTACCTTTCTCTCTAAAATTGTTTTAAAAAGATCAATCGTTTTGTTAGTTTAAATGTAAACAGGCATACTGACATGCTAGATTAATATGAATTACTGTAGGTTAAAGACAGTCCAAGTGTCTGTAGAGACTCTATATAATAGAGGTATTACCGAGTCAGCAATTCAAGATGGATTGATAATGCATTATGAATTCTTGGATAGGCCTATGTCCAGATGTGGACGAATACAGGCTGATGATGATGATGATGAATGGATTCCGGAAGGGAGCAAAAATCGGCATCGAACGGCTAAAATATTTGCATTCAAATGGTACCTACCTACTCAAAAGAATTTTTAAAATCGGTCCACAAACGGTCGGTACATACGACTCTTTTCTATTTAAACTGTCAAACACCAAGCGGTCACCGGTGACCGCAACCTATTGTTCTATAATTGTGTCTGCAAAACCGGTACTCGACGAGTTAATTTCAATTTAATTAGTAGCTATATTAGATATAGAAGTGAGGTCAAGCCTTAAGTATCTACATTAACATCTATTGTGCCTACCTAGGTATATGGCACCCAAGCTAAACGAAATATATTTTGTTTCAGGTCATCACCGGTGACAAATTCGACGGTGTCGCTAAGAGGTACTACAAGGCTGAATAAACTCATAGCTAGTAATTATGTTAATTTATTTTTATAAATAATAAATATTATTATTAATTAAAACTATTTTTTTTCTTTCAACATCATCTACCTAAATTAATTATAATGTTTTCGGCTTACTCTCTCGACTAGTTACACGCCACGCTGCTGCTGGATGCTCGGGTCGCAGAATGTTGCTCATGAATATGAGCCTCTAGCATGGCTTGAAACTAGACGAGTTCTTCGTCAAACAGTTACGTAACTAAGCCGAAAACGTAATAATTAATTTAGTATGCCTCACGAAATTTATAATACTTAATTATAAGCATCTACATAACGTAACATCACGCCTTTTATCCCCGAAGGGGTCGGCAGAGGTGCACATTATGCCACTTTATAATGTAACACCCACTTTTCACTATTTATGTTATAAGTCCCATGTAATAGGGGGTGAGCCTATTGCCATATATCGGGCACAATTCCAGACTCCGTGCTACTACTGAGCTTTTTTTAAAAACCCAGTAATACTATGCCCGACCCGGGAATCGAACTCGAGACCCCTTGCCCGGCAGTCGCACTCGGACAACGAGGCAGTCGAGAGTATAATCATCTACCCAAGTTTCTACTTTCCATAGACTTTTCCTCTGAATCGTTTGGGACTGTCGTTGAGCCTTCAATAAGGTTTCTGGCACACGCGTAGACAGCTACTTGCCTGCCACAACCAATTACTACTAATTGACTGACTGCATTAATGATGTGTTTTTATAATGATTATCGTGAGACATATACTAAATTAGAGCTTTTCTCAGTAGGTAGGTGTATTCAAAGTCAAAGTCAAAAATCTTTATTGTGAGACAGTGGTTACAAAGGTTGTTCTAAAGGTTGTTGTGTTCATGCCTGCTCTACTATGTTAGGCATACAATAGTTTGTGACAAACGTATAAATTGCAGTAGCTGTACGTTATAAAATTAAATGCTGATTGAATAAAGAAACTTGTATTAATTTCATTTTGCATCAAAACATAAAATGGCGTTTCAACTGTTAACGAATACGTCAGAGAAAAATTCATGCAATGTATAATATGGTCTATTTACCAGGAAGTCAAACAATTTTTTCTTTAAAAGTCTACCAAGTTCTAGTAATCTGCGATTTTTAGTTATATAATTGAATTAAAACTGTTCAAGTTTCAATCCATTCTCATGAAATCTCTCTGTCGTTATTTAAAATTAGTTGACTAATGTTCTTGAATAATTTTTATTTACAATCGTGAAATTTTGAACTAATAAAGCCCTTAAGATAAGGGAGTATTTTCACTTGTAACTATTTAGTCGATAAAATAACGGAGGGGAGTGCCATCATCATCATCAAAAATAACTTAGGTACCGATTGCCAAGGACGATATCAAACCTTATGATATCAAATGAGGTTAACAGGACAAATATAGAAGTTTCAAATTAGTTGCTATGGGATTCTGATACGATATCATTGAAGTGGTTTGATAAATTGCTACATAACTAATACCTACCTAAATTGATATCTCAACAGTAGCCAATAGGTAGCCACACCTCTTAAAATGTTCTTGTACCTAAGTATTTTAAGTATTTTTATAAGACTTTTGCGAAGCCAGCGTAGTTGCCTAAACAATAACTGAATTATTCACAGGTACATAGTGATCGCATATTATCCGTCTAATGAAGAAGGGGTTGAGTTTAATGCCCAAGTCAGATTAAATATACACCCTTAAGTAGAAAGAATTTTTGGACCTTATTTTTATAGGGAGAAAACCATCGAATGACTTCTTCCGCATGGGTGAGGTGGGAGGAAGTGTCGGACTCTTACTGCCTACAGCGGTGGGTTTTAGTCGTTGATACTCCTGCACTTCGAGCCGGAGCCCCCCGGTAATCTTTTACGTTCTCCACGGCTCCGTATCTGCATCAGCCCGGCATCGGCTCTTTTAGGCGCGCTGAACGCGACGTGCCTTACGCTCGGGTCTGGTTCTGGTCGGGTGGCAAGCCACCCATGCTCGCCGTTCGCAGGCCCGTACTTACGGTGGCCGGAGATCATCGCGCGATCTCCGTCGCCCGGAATATAACCCGCGACGGTTAGGGCATGAGGAGGTTCGTTTCCTCACGTACCCTGCCTATTCCATAAAAATATCAGTAGGTAGGTAAGTATTTAAGTAATAGCTACCTACCCACTTGAGACGTGGATAACAGATTACTTATAATCGTGATTTCTATTTGTTATCTAACAGGTTGGTAAGTAGAACAACATGAAGATAAAATAATTGATATGAGGGTATGAATAAATAGGTATCCATTTTGTTATTACATATTTTACAGAAATGCGTGAAGGCAAACGAAATGTTTCTGTAATCATAATAATACGATGGAATATTTTACGGAACTGACTGATGACTGCCTCATTGATTGAGTGACTGCTAGGGCAATTTCCGAGTAAGAATCTCAGGTTCGATTCACAGGTTCACCTTTATTTTTTGAAAATAGTACGTAGTCTATAATAATTGTGGTCGTCATCATCATCAACAGTCTATAGAGGTAAGTAGGTACCCAGTGCCGAGCAAAGCCTTTTCTTTTTTGAGCATTAATCACCAGGCTTGCTCTATGCGATTGCAAACTTATAATTAGAAATTATAAGTCCAGGTTTCCTCACGATGTGTAATCTTCACCGTTTGTCAGTGGTGTCCACATAATCTTAGAAAGTACCTACATATAATTCTGAAAAAGTCACATTGGTACTTGTCGTTGGTAGGTTACAAAACCTCTGGGTCACCACGTCTTGTTTTGTGGTCAGTAAATGCCAATAGCATCACTTCCTATTAGTTAAATGGATCGAATTATTAACAAAGCGAGTGTCAATATTGGTCCGCTGCAGTACCGTGGTTACCATAAGAGCACTCGGGGCCCATACCCAGGGCTTTTTGATGGATTAATCCTTAGGGGGCCCCGAAGGACCGACAATTTTTATGACAGTCCCGCTACACGTTTCTTGCTAACTCATGGAGCAAATCTTTGTGTGATCCACAAATAGTCATTTCGGGTCTGGGTGTCATGCGTATTTGAACTTGTATGTTTGTAAATGCACCAACAATATAGGAGAAAATCATAGTGTGGGGCAAAGTTAGAAAAAAATACTTTCAAGGCCCCGAATTATTGTTTGCCCAAGGGCCCCAGCGTAGTCTAAGACGACACTGATCCTCTGCTTAAACCGATAATAATAGCGCGCAATAATAATATAACCGATTATAGCGCGAGCTGCTACATGGATTGAAAAAATAACAACAGAAACTTCGTTCTAAACATCCTTTTAATCAGGTTTAACTAAATACAAATCACAGAACACGCATATAGGATTTTCAATTTCTAAATCAGCCCTTGATGTAGCATTGCAACACTGACACATTAAATAATCATCCGAACAAATAGGAGTAAAAGTTGCCATACAAAACATATTTATATGTCCACTCTTACACGTAAACCCTTCAATTTTGTCATCACAACACTGACAGACATAATCACAGGAATTTTCTAATGCATTTAATACATTTTGATCTAATTCATTGTCCGTTTTATACTTCTTTACATAATATTCCAAATATTTTTTTGTACCGTAAAGAGATTCCATATCTAGATCGTTCAATTGCCCCTCGTTTTGACATTTGGTATATAAACTGTCTAATAACTGTTTTGCATGTAAATAGAGGATTTTTTCTTTCACAATGTCCATGGAAGTCTCTGGTAATGTCACATCGACTAAGCGTAACACTTTTTTTAACCCTGATATGTATGTAAGGAGGATTAAATAGATTTTAAGCTTATAAATATCATGTGCTCCTGATGCATAAAGCTCATTAAAATCCCATTTCGGCCTCCACTTTAACTTGGTAATTTGGAATCGCAATAATTCTACATAATCCCAATAGTGCGTCAACTTTTTGGTTGGATTGGATAATAATGTATCCAGCATGGTTTCTGGTTTTATTTCTTTGCAAATAAATATTATTTCTAACTTAAGAGGTTCTTTTCTGGCTTGTACTTTACGTTCAACCATTGCTAATGCACATATCAAATTGTTCGGTGAGAACCGTAGACTGTACAATTCATACAAAGGATAAGGGTTCTTAATAACTACCGGAACAAGGTCCACATTTAAATTGGCATCGGATAGAGTAACATTTACTTTGTAAATTGTGACGTTTACAACTGCTACGTAAATGCCATCACAGGTATAGACAATGTCTGATATTCGATGATCATTGATATTATTTAAATATTGACTTAGAATGTTGCCATCATAATCAATGGCTTGTACTAACAAATGTCTATGCTTGCTAGTGATGAAAATTATTTTATTGTTCATTTTTAAATATTTGAAGGTCACAGCTGCCATTCTGTCTTTATGTGGCCAAAGAGGACAGGTTTTTAGAAGCTTTATGCCATCATTTTCTAATTTCAAATCAAAAGCTATTATTTGTCCTGAAAGATTTGTGCCAATGATAAAAAAGCTATCGTCAGATTTTGGTATCCATCTTATGACACTCATGTCTTCCATATTTGTTGTTATATATCCAATTATTTGTGGCTCATTCATACTGCTAAATAATTGCCAAAAAAGAAGAATGCCATTCTTCTGCGCAGTGACAAAGCAGCAAGAATCATCGGAATTTAACTCCGGTGCCCAGCATATAGCAGATGTTTCTAGAATATAAACGGATTCCTTAAGTTCTTCGAAGTATCCTGGCTTTTTATTGTGCGCTAAAAGTTTTGTGATGTAAGGTGACAAGTTCATAATGCTTTTCCATACTATTCTATCTTTGATAAAGAATTCAACGCCTCCAATATTGTTTAAGACAGCGAGAACAGAATTACTCTTCAGGAACTCTTGTGGAGACCACTTGCACATAGTAATACTTGTCATTTCTTGGGTAAGAGCTTGATTGTGAGGCCAAAACGCTGAATCTAGCAACATATCCGTGAAATCAGCGTTTCTCATTTCTGACTTCAAAAAATTTGCTTTACATACTTCTGTGGCAGGGCTGGTCGTAGGACTGCTCAAAGCACTCTCATTGAAGTCCAGATTTTTATCTAAACACTCCAAATTGTACGCATATTCGAGGAAGTTTAAACGTTTACTTTTACGTATAGTTAGCATGGAGTTTCGCCATGATAAATACGCGATTTCGTTCTTAGTCACAGGCGTACATCGTTTTGTTAGTTCAATATAAATTTCTTCTGCCATGTTTTCGTTGTTCCAATTTATTGCGACACCATGTGTACCTTAAAAACCGAGATATTTCTAAAATACGAAAATAATTCAGTCAGCCAAGTCTGGAAATAAACACGTGAATCTGACGTTTGTCAAAATGTCAATTGTCGATTGACGCCTGACAGTGACAGTTTACAGCTATTTCATAGTGTAAGGCTAAAATTCATTTCATGCATAGTTGAATAATTATTTGTCATCGATATGTTCGACTAAACACTACCTTTAAAAATATAAGATATTGGAATCAATAAGTACGCATTATCACAATATGATAATATTATACGCAATTATATGATTACTAATAAAACAATGTAATATTATTAATATTATAAAGTGGGTATGTGGGATTAAAAATCTCCAAGTTTTTTTATTATTCACATCTTGTCCTTGTATGCTTCATATCACTGTTTTTATTCTTAGGTACTTCAAAATTTATCAAGATATCCTAGAGCAGGGCTGTCCAAACTATATACCCTCGCGGGCTAATTTAACTTCTAACAAAAGCTGGAGGGCCAGAAAAATATTTTCACGTTGTACAATGAAGTTTAACATTGTATTCTTTACTCATAGACAAAATTTGTATACAAATCATACACTGAATTTTATTATTGTTGTTGCACATAAGATGAAGATGATGAGATTAAAACATGTGTCGCGGGCCACATGAAAACAGGCCGTGGGCCGCATGCGGCCCGCGGGCCTTTGTTTGGACAGCCCTGTCCTAGAGCATTAATAAATTATGAAATACTAAATATTTACTTTAACTAACTAAAATAGTAGAGTTATAAATAGTCAGTTTTTCTTTGTGCAACCCTATCTCTAACCTATTAAAAAAAATAAAGTCATAACAAAAACACGTTGTTTTGATGATGATTGTGTGAGGTTTTATTTCTGAATATTTAACTGAATTCATGGTGTTTTAATACATAAACGAATTGTTCAAGATGGGGAAAGGACGCTATAATGCTAAAGCTCGCCAAGTCGTGAAGACTGATATAGATAATTCAAAAACTAGTGAGGTAACCAATTTTTATTCTTACTTTCAAATTTTATGAATCAAACATGTGGTACTTACTGTTCAATATTAGAAAAATTATAGAAATTGGTGATATGCTACTCAAATGTTACTTCTCGAATTATATAGTTGTATAGTTATATAAACAACTTTTACTTTATATGAAAAAAATACCATGAAGTACCAAACATACAATGTCTTTTGGTACTACCAATAATTGCTTTCTGATTTAATTTTGGCCCCAAAAGAGACTCACTGAATAGTCTAACTATAATATTATTTGCAAAATTTCAAGAAAATAAATTGTAAAGAGATTATGAAAAAATAGTCTCAGTTCAAATGTCATTCTAAATTAATATTAATTACTTATAGCATGTTAAATTTGTATGTAATATATCTTGGGTATAATACCTAATTATGATTAGAGAGGTTAATTTGTTGTACCCTGTGCCATACTTCTATATTTCTGTATTCTTAGTATTATTGTTTTTTGTTCAGATTCAATTAGAATTTGCTACCAATGAATATGGAGGTACCGATTCAACTAATTTACTGGCCTTGCCATCAAAGAAACGAGACACAAAGATTGTCAAAGAAAAGAAAGAAAAAACTAGATTCCTTTCAAAAGCTCAGCGGAAAAGATTAGAGAAGATTGTTGAGAAGAAAAAGAAAAAGGAAAATGTAAGTATTTAAATTTTTTATTTAAAGGCATTGATAAATCTGAACTGATTAAACATGCTTTGTCCAATGGGGCCACCATATTTTTGGTCTCCATATTGTGCCGGCGTAAACCCCAAGTTTTTTGTCCAATAGGGAATTAACTAGTATCACCTCATTGGATGTCCAATATTTGACAACTGCTGTGATTTGATTAAAAAGCTCTTATTACAATTGTGCTACCTCGTGACCAAAAATATGGTAGCCCTCATTGGCTTAGTTTGGCAGATAAGTTAAGCAAACCTCTTATTTAAAGGAGGCTCATATTCCATGGCTGTCAGTTTTTGTCAGATGTGTAAGTCAATGTCCTGCCTCAAATGTCAATTACATATTGTAAAATACATAATTAATTTTGTGACTGCTGTTAAAAAATATTGAGCACAAATCAACCGCATATTGCCATTGCATCAGTGAGTGCACAACCTGATTCCCTCTGTCCTTTTCATCATCGTACCACAAGACAGTCAGCGAAGCATAACCAATTCATGGTACTTGTGCCACCCACACGCACGAAGCACTTCACATCAAGCTTCCTTGTGCATACTGCTAAGGAGTGGAATTCTTTGCTAGAGTCTGTATTTCCTGAAGGGTATAAGGATAGCCTGAGTGTTTTCAAGGCCAGAGTGAATAGGTTGCTTATGGGATGACGTGCTCCATCGTAGACCGCATCATAGCTTACCACCAGGCGAGGTAGTGGTCAAACGTCAGCCCATCAAATATATATACTTATGTGCAAAAAAAATAGTATGTGTAACATAGCCATGTGTTAATAAATCCATTCTCCAATATTTCAGAGGGCATCTCTCTTAGAATCTCTGTCACAAGTACAAGCGTCAGCAGAGGAAGTGCAACAGTTTACTGGCATATCCGCAGTCCAAACCATTGGGTTGCGGAAACTCAATGAGCTGAATTCCGAGCTGACTACTCAAACAGTTACTGAGGAAACCGAGAACAAGAAGTTTAGTAGTATCGCTGGTATGTTTGATTGATTGTAAAAGTTTCTTTTTTTAGTTTTTTTTTATTGTTTAACATTGCCCATTGGCATTGGGTTGGGACGGATTCGGATCCAGAATAATAATATTTGGGTCTCACAAACACAACATTCGGCGTGGGAATCGCACCCGCTATATGTTGAGCGTAGCCACCGCGCCAACCGCTGTCAATTATCATATTATTAATTACTAGCGCTAGCCTGCGACTTTGTACGCGCAATCCCGTTTTCTCCCGTTCCCGTAGTATTTTCAGTACTTTTTCTCTCTTTAGAACCTTGTCCTAATAATAACATATACAACAGAAACAGAATTAGGGAAATCGGTCCAGCCATTTACACGTGATGCCGTGACCAAGGGAAGAAGGAATTCATTTTTATATATATAGATACAGTTTTATTATTTTTATTACTCGAGGAGATAGGTGTTAGAATTGGGATGATGACAGGGTATGAAAATTAAAAATATAATTAGTCGGTTAAAAACTAAAACGTCATTTCTACGTATGAAATGACATAGAAGTGACGTCACGCGACATTTCAAATCAATATATCGTCGAAAGTATTCGTTACTGTAAGAAAATAAAAAATACGTGTCTAATGATTTAAAATAATTAACTGGACGGACATTAAAATAAAAATTAGGAATCTACCTAATTTAGACTTAGAGTGTACCTAACTTACTACTACCGCCAGTTATGTAGTGAGACTCATTTATTTAGGTTTAAAATATAGGCACAATTCCAAACTCTGTGCTATTAAGTGCTAAAAAGAAATCAAAAAATTAAAAAGGCCACAATAATTCTATACCCGATCTTCGGACCTTCTGAATTGAACTGGAGACATCTTGTTAAACTAAGGAGGTTTATTAAGTACTAGTGACCCGCCCCGGCTTCGCACGGGTGCAATATGCATGTATTATACATACAAACCTTCCTTAAGAATCACTCTATCTATTAAAAAAAACCGCATCAAAATCCGTTGCGTAGTTTTAAAGATCTAAGCATACATACGGACATACAGCGAAAGCGACTTTGTTTTATACTATGTATTGATATTAAGGGTCGGCAAGGCGCATGTAATGTTCCATGTGTTGCAAGCAGTTATAGGCCACGGTAACCGCTTATTATCAGGTGGGCCGTGCGCTTCTTTTACTACCGTCGTGGTGTAAAAAAATGGATATTCTACCAACAAGACGGTCTAAATCTACATTGAAATATTTTCTAGGTGCCAAAAAACGTCTTCGACTGCTAAAAATGGATAATGCAGAGAAAATCAAAAAGAAGAAGTATGATCCAAACGTAGTTGGCCTTGAAGAGTCTTCCGAAGACAGCAGTTCAGAATCCGAAGAAGAAAGTGATGATGATGAACCAGAAATCGTGAATGGAGATGATGACAAAGAAAAAGAAACTCCAAAACCAGTTGAGAAAGTTGATATTACAGTGGCAGATACGAATGATTCTAAAGCAGAAACTGCAATAGAAATTACAGATGATACGAAAGAAAATGTAAAGAAAAATAACAAGAAAGTTGAAAAAGATGTTAAAGTGGAGAAAAAACCTTTGCTTGAGCATCCTACGTTTCACGTGGAAGTGAAAAGAGACCCTAAAATACAGGTAGCAAGGTTGAAATTACCTATACTGGGCGAAGAACAGAGAATCATGGAATTAATCAATGAAAATGAATTTCTTATTGTTGCTGGTGAAACAGGTATGTATTCATATTTACTATAATGGGGTAAGCAGAAGTGTTCGTAATAAAGCTACTTCTTATCAGTTATGAGTCCCATGAAATAGATAGTGAACCTGACATATACCAGTACCAAATTACATATTTTGTTAAATCTTACTGTAACAGACGATAATCGAATCAAATCTGAGACACCTCTTTTTTGCTCGATCAATATTTGTGTTTCAATTGCAAATCTTTCATAGAAGTAACAATTATAGATACAAGTTCAGAAAAATAACAAAAGTTTCGTAGACTCACTTTAAGAAAGGTCATTGAAGCAATAAAAATTTTGGCTTCAACCAATACAATAATATTATAGAAAATCTTTGACTTCAGTTAAATTTTAATTTATTATTATTATTATTTACATCATACGTAACATCACGCCTTTTACCCCCGAAGGGGTAGGCAGAGGTGCACATTACGGCACTTAATGCCATTGTACAATATAACACCCACTTTTCACTATTTATTATGAGTCGTATGTGATAGGGGGTGAACCTATTGCCATATACCGGACACAATTCCAGACTCCGTGCTACCACTGAGATTTTTTTTAAAAAACCAGTTATGCTTTGCTTCACCCGGAATCAAACCCCAGACCCCTTGCCCGGCAGTCGCACTTGCGAC